AAAGGGGATTGGGCGGCAGTCGAAGGCAGGGGCCCCGACGACCCAATTTCTGGACACGGAGACTAGCCCCTTCTGAGTTGTAAAGTAGTATATAAATGCTGTTTATTTTTATTATTAACAAAACGGACCCAGGTACACCTACTCCGGTACTGTTAAGTGCAAATTTGAGGTACTTGTATTTTAAGTATTCCGTTTCATGACGTTTTCCACTCCACGTTTCAGAGGGTAGTATTCTGTGTTTGTTAGTCAGCTGTGGTTACGGGTTATTTTACAGATGAAGATTTTCCACCTTTTTCACAAAAGCATATGAAAAGCCTTTACTGTATGTAACCTAGTAACTTGTCTGATGGTGCTACAAACAGCTGGGTCACTTGTTGCTCTTCACTTCTTTGCAGGTCTCTGGATTCAGCCCCCCTGTGCAGGTGCTCTCCTCCTCAGGGTCAGCTGGCGCTCCAGGCCAGAGAAGCCAGGGGGTCCAGGCCCAGACGGTGAGGGGGGATGGCATGTACATGCAGCATTCCGGCTTCAAGTACTGCTTCAGGGAGGTCAAAGATGGACAGGTGAGAGGGAGCAAGACGAATCACTATTAGAGCTGTTTTTAATTTACAGTAAGGGGAATTTAGCTCTAGAAACACAAACCATTTTTGCTGTAAATGTGTTTATTTCTGTTGTAAAGTTTAACATGGGAGTTTATGGGGACTGACTCCCTTTTGGAGCCAGCCTCAAGTGGCCGTTCAAGGAACTACAGGTTTTGGCACTTCGACAGTGGCTTCATTTCTCAGCCTCTGAGGTTGTTGCTTGGTAAAGCCCTGTCAGCGCCCCCTAAAGGCCACACACAGTTTGATAGAGTCTTATGGTGTTACAGCAGTGGAGCTAAGCTTGGAAGATTTGTCCTGAGGGTGGTGCTAGATTAAAGGTGAGTCCGGCCACTGAGTCGGATAGGGAACAGTGTTTCTGCTGTAATAGCACAGGCATGTTGGGTCACCATGCCAATGAGACCCCCGCCATGCCTACACAACAGGCCAATATTTTTTATATAATACCGTCCAATGTACACTCATTTGGAAATGATGATTTGTGTTTGGGAGTGTCTGTCTGGTGCCCCTCTCTGACAGCACTGGTAAGAAAACCAAACAAGCCCAGCAATACATGAAAACATGAACGAGTGTGGCCTGAGAATACTGCTTTTAATGGATTTCATACGTCCACCAAGGTTTATGGAAACGACATGTTACCTTCACTGATTCTTCACCCGCGCTTCTGCAAGTTTGTGGTATTCAGTATTTTCAAGTAGGCTGAATGGAAGAAGAATCTGGAGACATAAGTTTATTCTGCACCAGGCAACTGCACAGCAACACACTGAATGCAGTAACACACGCACACTGAACCCTGCCAAAACCCCAAACTATTTACATCCTGCCCTGTGAGGCATTATGGGGGATCCCGCCAAGTGTCTCTCCGCCCCAACACTACAATATTTTCTCATGGAAACGCAGTGTCACTGTATTTGTCTCTTGTTTGCACTTTCAATGTGTTACACCAATGCTACAGCGTGCCAGTAATCAGTGCTGTTATAATAGTGTAACATAATTGATCACTCAGTAATCATCACAGAATGAATCTGTGTTGTACGGAAACGTGAGATGATTTCTCATAATGCAACTAATGCAAAAAACACAAATAAGCTATGTTTTCTACAGTAGCAATACCTCATATCCTACCTGACATGTTTGAGCCAGAATATGAGAGTGGATAGCACGACAAACCGCAACAGCATTAACTAATTTGAATTTCTCCTCCATAGATAGGTAAACAATGACAACATACAGTCCCAAAGTAGTCAAATGAATTCCAATAGGCAGTGTAGTACTGACAATAACGTCATGGGTTGTTGATCTGCTGGTTACCCATTGGAACGTTCCTACCCCCACCTATGGCCATGAACTTTGGATCATGACCGAAAGAATGAGATCACAGATACAAGCAGCAGAAATTAGTTTCCTCCGGAGAGTGGCTGGGCGCACCCTTAGGGATAAGGTGCGGAGCTCAGTCACCCGTGAGGAGCTCAGAGTAGAGCCACTGCTCCTCCACAATGAGCGGAACCAGTTGAGGTGGCTTGGGCACCTGTTTAGGATGCCCCCTGGACGCCTCCCTGGGGAGGTATTCCGGGCATGTCTCTCCAGGAGAAGGTCTCGAGGCAGACCTAGGACATGTTGGAGAGACTATGTCTCCCGGCCTTGGGGTTCCTCCTGAGCAGCTAGAGGAGGTGTGTGGGGTGAGGGAGTCTGGGGGGCTCTGCTCGGGTTACTGCCCCCGCGACCCTGTCTCGGATGAAGCGGATGAAGATGGATGGATGGACATCTCATTGGCATCAAACACACATCGGCAGACACACTGGTCTTAAGCAGTCAAAACAAACAGGTACTGCGCTGATCATTCACCACCACGGGGGCTTCACGGGCCGGCTGCTTGTAGGTTAGACGCGGTTAGGTAAAACAACAAGTACCTGTACAGGAACATTCCCAGACATGCAGTAACCTCAGGCCCTGTATCTTAGTCCACATCCTCTGGTCATGGTGCAGCAGCAGGAGGGAAAATACTGTATATCCACAAAACCAGGAGCAGTCAGAATTTTCTTTTTTATTAAATAACTTTATTGAAGATATACATGACAAACAGGGTGATGTAAGTGATGCAATGAGTCATGCACACTGTGCTCATGATGAGAAAATGGGCAGTTTGTTTCACATTGCTGAGCAGTTCCAACTGCAGTTTGTACCAGTTTGAGAGTTTATTATAGGTTTTATTTATGTATTCTTAAAGATTTTGTTCTATCTTCTTCAGTTGTGAAGTAACTGGTAGCTTTGACAGTTAATTGTGTGCAATAAATACATCTTATTAATACTCATTTTACGTGACCTTTACATGGAAATTGCCAAACAGGTCTATGCAAGAAAGAAATAACCAAAAATGTTAGTGTGTGTGCACAAAACCTTTATCGTCCTCTTGCCACCATACCTGAAAAATATTCTGGGGGTAACACTGAGGAAAAAATCCTCAATAAACTGGAACAAAAGCAAAATGGAAGAAACCTGAGGAAGAACAACAAAACATGGACAGTCAGGAAGTAGATGTGTGTACATTAAATATGAAGCTACAGCCATTTGGTTTAACTTAGCATTAAGACTGGAAAGGGCTCCAAAAAACAGGATTAGGTTTTGTACTGGTCCCAGCCAAAAATCATCAGGCGTATGCCACAAAACCAGTCTGTTAGTGGTTGTTCTGTGCCTCTTTGTTTCGTAGGATGGGCCAGAGGGTTCACATGCCTGTGCCCAGTGGCCTGTTGTTTCGGCCACACCCAGCGGTGATGAAAGAAGTCTTCAGCACTGCTTTACAAAGAGCTAGATGATTAGACTATGCTGCTACAAGAAACAGACAGCATTTGCCAGCAGGGTGATGGAGCTCTCAGTAGTTGTGAAGTATGCTGCTGCAGTTTTAACAGTCAGATAGTTGGACTCAGAGACTGTGTGGCAGCAGCTAGTGCAGCTGGAGCTGCATGTTATTTTTGCTGTGAAAATGGCAGAGGAGGGATTTTCTATCAGAGAGCTGAAGTGTGAGCACGCTGTTTCTCTCTGCAGCCAGCAGTCTAATGGGAACCAGAGACGTGGTCCCATTACAGGGACCACAGACAAGAAGTCACAGATTTACTTTCATCATACAGTCACTACGGAAAGTTTTCAGACTTTTTCAAGTTTTCCACATTTAGTTATATTTAAGCATCATCTTAAAATGGATTCAGTTCATTTTTTCCTAATCGAGCTACACACAATACTGCACAATGGTAAAGTAAAAACAGGTTTTTGAAGTGTCTTGTTAGTATATTACAAATAAAAGGCTGAAATATTCCATTTACATAAGTTTTCAGACTCTTGGTTATGACACTTGCATTTGAGCTCTGGTGTATCCTGCTCCTATCTGTGGTCAATGAGATGCTCCTACCGTTCCTCACTAAAAGGCACATGTAGCCTGCTGGGAGTTTGCCAAAGGGCGCCAGAAGGACTCAGACCCTGAGAAGCAAAGTCCTAGGTCTGATGAACAAAGACTGAACAACAAGGCCACATTAATAGTCACACCTGTACAACTGTATGTACTTCAGTGCAGCGCTTCCGCCTTAACATCTATTTATGAAGCTCAAAATATTTCAGTTTTTGGTGAAATTCTCGTAAATGTATACATCCAATCATATGTTTATTAGCGGGGCTGGCAATTCTTTTCAGAAGCATTTGTTGTTACATATCTTGTAGTGAACACACTTAACACACCAACAACGTAAAGAAACAAACCTGTCATCTGTGGCAGCAGCAGGGCTGAGAAAAGCCTGACCAGTAATTTTACTGCTCCCAAGTAAAACCACCAGACGGCCTACCTGCCTGTCAACCTACTTCCCACTTGTGCACACTCTGCGCTCATGCACTCAATGCTTGACCCAAGAATCTCCCACAAAGCCTTGCAGTTGCAGGTAGATGTGCTACCACTCTGTTTTACAGCTAAAGTTAGCGAGCTATAGCAGAGAAGGTTCTCAGCTTTCGGTTGTAAGCAGAGACCGTTGTTACAGGCCAGGCCTTCCCCTTGAAGACAAATGGCCTTATGGGTAATGTTGTTAGTGTTGTTGCCAGAAGTTGTGAGCTGCAGTGTGAGAGCGAGAAGAACAGGCTTCTTTTACATGCAGCCAGACAGTAGTCAGGTCTAAGTGTGACAGGACTGTAATGCAGTTAACTGGGCATCAAAGGCCACATGCAGTGTTCATGTTACCAAGACAGAGTACAGCCTGTGTTTTGGAGTTAGCCCGCCTCCCTCTTCACTTCACATATCAAGACATCTGCTCAACTGATCCACATTAACAGTAGGAGAATGAGCAGTGGGCAGCAGCTGTGTGCAGTGTCCCCGTGGACGTCCACACAGCTGTCACTGGATCACTGTGAGACTGAAGGAAACGGGAAGATTCTCAGGCAGGTTCTGCAGCCTCTCCTCTGGTTTCTATGTGGATTTATGGAGGTTTGTTCTGGGGGGGCAGCAGAGATGATGTATCCTCAGGAAGTGAAGGTCTGAAAATATTTGTCATGCCTGTGTGAGTTATCATTCCCATTCCTGATGGAAGATGCAGCCGTCTGTTCCTCAGTCTCCTCCAGGATCTGCTGTAGCTCCAGCTGCCGGTGGTGTCGGCGAGCGCTGAAACCGACAGCAAACTGCGACAACTGTTTCTACATGTACATCAGCACACATGGGACAGCTGCTGGCAAAGCTCTGAGAGCAGTACAGATGAACTTGTGACTCCTCGTCACAGCTCGTGGCCTCAGTGGGATGTGGGTATTTTTCCCTCAAATGTTTCATTTTGAGGATTTTTAGAGGCCTGACGAGTTGGAAGCACGTTGTCCTTCACCAGGAGGCACCAGCAAAATTGAGGAAAAAATATGCTTGAGTTATGTAATTGAAGTGTTTTTCTGTCAGTTACTAGACTTCAGTGCAATTTTGAAATCAAAGGTGACAGAAAAGTCAGAGACCTGAAAACCGATTTGTGTGTTAGAGCTTTGTCTCCCCACCACTGTGGTTCAGATGGAAACGTCTCAGCTGCTGCTCAATGGATTGTGATGAGGTATGGTTCACACATTCATGGTCCCCTCAGGATGAATTGCAGTAACTGGTTATCCTCTGACTTTGCATCTAGCGCCACCATCAGGTCAAAGTCTGAATGTGTCCAGTACTGTAGTGGCATTCCCATCAGCCTCAGCTGCTCTGTGTTTGTCAGAGTTGACATGTATCAATGCAGTGACACTTGCTACTGTCTGTCATCACCTGTGTGTGTTTAGTGTATTAAACAGAGCTGGGTGTGTGTGTGTGTGTGTGTTTAGTGCAGCTCTCCTCTGCCTGGACTGAGGAGCCGAGAAATGTGCTGCAGAGGGATCGGGAAGGGCTGGGGGATCACCGACTGCGTCCTCTGTCCTGACAACACAGGTACGCATGTATTTGAACGGGGCTAAGTCCCTAGATGTGTTTAGTCCAAAAGCACCTCTGTCTCTGTGATGACCCTCCCTGATGTAATGCAGCCCCCAGCCCCTCACCCTAATACTTAACCCAAACTCCAGGTCTGAAGCCCCAAACACACACAGGCCTCTCAGTATAGGAGTGTCCTCACAATGAAGGTTTTGGCCTAAACTTTGTCCACACAGCTGTAGAAACGCATGCAGACAGAGTCAGTGATGATGCTAACATGTCCCTGTAGGGAGCTGACTAACAGGACAGGAATGCAGCTCTGTGAGACAATAGTCCTTTAACACACACACACACATCTGCATGTGTGTTTACAGACACACAGGAGGTGGTGTTAGCTCACCGCTGGCCTCCACCTTCACATTGGCCTGTGAAATCAGAGAGAATGATGTGATGCACCGTCACAAAACAGAGGGAGGGAGTGGGCACAGTGAATGGTGAAGGAAGGAAACACACACACACACACACACACACACACACACTGCAGTGCGTTTCCAGCTGGATTGGATCTGGCATTTGAGTTTAACTGTCTCAGAGATAAACAGAGAGAAAGCCAGCTTTCATTAAACATGTTCAGAGAACTCTACTGAAGCCTCAGAGGGCTTTTGTAGTGTTTTTTTGTTCTTACTAACAAATCCCACGTCCAGCCTGGCAGTGCTGGAAGCGGTACTCACATCCTTCACCTGAGGCCGCTCTGCCTGATGGCTCTTCAGCCTAGAGGGTCCAAGCTGACACCATAAACCGCTCCTTCCCGCCTTTTACCCCTCCCATCATGCCCTCTTTCCTAAAGCTACGATGTGAGCTACAGACGCCTGGTTGTTACAAACTGTCCAAAATCCAGCCGATACTTGATCTTGTGAACATTTCGTGTTTTGTGTTCTCCATCTTACTAAACAACAGAGCGCTTTAGTGCTCAGTCCTGAGAACTGAGTTAGCATTGTTTAACTTTCCCATCGCTCCAAAGTCAGTGGGGATTTTGAGTGGCTTTTTGGTGAGAAACCTGAAGTGAGCTCTGTGATTAACACGAGGTGAGGACATAAAATACACCCGTAAATACCCCACTCATTATTAGAGTGAAGCACCAGAGTCTTGAAAGAAGGCAGAACTGTTAGACCAATAGTGAACAGCTGTAATATTGCATATGCTTTACTTATTTTATTGTTTATGCTCTGGGACATAAATAGTTCATGGTTCAGTTAAACTAAATCACATGTTCTTATATGAAGCATAATCTTTTTATGTATAAGAAATAACAGTAGGTTAAAATAAATGCATATTGGCTTAGTTCATTTGTTTATATCCTGCCATCTCTGTCTCTCTCTGTGTAAAGCTGTGTTCACATTATCACAGATGAGGCTTTTGCACGATCTTCGGGTAAAACCTGCTCCGACCGGCGTGGAAGTCCTTCGTTTCTCTGCGATAATGTGAAGATGTGGATATGTTTCAACTGTTTGCGGCGTGATCAGGTTTTTAACCTGTGTAATCCATCGTTAATCATCCTCAGGTCCGAACAACAGTAGCTGTCCGCCTGGTTTTGAGCGAGCCAACGGAACGCATTGTGTCGGTGAGTTTAGCACACACACAGGAAGTAGGTCAGAGGTCACAGGAAGTAGGCCAGAGGTCACAGACAGGTGGTCGTGGATGATGTGGGTCACAGTAGTAGTCATACAACAGTGAATGCTCTCATCCTACTAAATGGCAGTTATCAGTGTGGGTTAGTTGGGCCCCACTCCACCTCCTAGTCAGTATTATGTGTCTGACTGTTGTCGCCATGGTTACAGCAATAAATGCAGAGCGAGTCAGCTTTAGACACAGGAAGTACTTAGTGTGTGTGTGTGTGTTAATGTATTTTTGCATTTAATATATGTGTCACTACGTGTTGATGTGTGTGTAGATGTGAATGAGTGCCTCCAGCCGGGACTGTGTGAGAACGGGCTCTGTGTGAACACCAGGGGGAGCTATAGCTGTGTGTGTAGGGTGGGGTTCATCCTCGACGCCTCACATGGAATCTGCATCTGTGAGTAACACACAGATACACACCAACACACACTGCTGTCAGCTTGAGAATGAAATCAGGAACAAGGCAGATTCCAGGTCTGGACTTCCTGAATCCATCTAAGCCCCTTCCTAAAGCCCGGGCGTCTGTTGACCTTTGGAAAAATGGCCGCGCTCTGTTGTTTGCTCCAGACATGTGATCATCAGACTCAAAGCTGCATCAACAGACGTCACATTATTCACCGTGCAGACATTTCTGGCACCAAGAGTAAAGTCAGGATGCTTTAGAAATGCTGCCACGAATAGTTTGAATTCTCAGTGAACTCCATCCAAAGAGCAGTGAAGACAAAGAACCTAAACCAGACCACTATTTGCTGTGACCCCCTTTGCCTTTAACCAGGTCTCCTCAGTTCACCTCCACACCGAGTCTCCAGGTACCTGGCAGGTCGGTTGTTCCAGCATCTCAGAGACGCTGCCACAGTTCAGCTGCAGACTCAGGCTGTCTCAGTGTCTCTGTCTCTGCATGTGATCCCAGGCTGACTCCATGGTTCTGAGATCAGGGCTCTGTGGGCGCCAGATCATCTGCTGCAGGTCTCCTGGTGCTTCTGGTCTCAGTTCTTTATGACTCTGTTGGAGATTTGGGCTCAGCGTCAGGCTGCAGGGTGGATCTGGGACTGATCAGACACCTCCTGGTGAGACTGATGGAGAAGAAAGTGCCTGAAACCTTGGCACAGTACTGTGCATATCTGAGAACCATGAAATCTGGCACCATGTGTTCTGTTCCTCCTAACATCCCTCCTGCTGATCCACTGACAGATGTGTCCAAATACCCATGTTATGTAGGAACTGGTGCCACACAAAAGAGCCTCTCATCTCAGTTCGGTGACATTAGCATTGGCACCTCTAGTATTACCAGCACCAGTACGACGGTAAAGCAGCGACCGCTGCAAACACTGAGGCCAGAATCTGTTAGATGAAAGTAAAAGCAGCAGCAGAGAAACCAAACTCCAGACTGCAGAGACCCAAGCACAGGAAGCTGAGCATAATGCAACAACAACAGTAAATCTTTGATTAGACCAGACAGGAGCCTGGTAAACACAACCTCTTTCAAACTTGCTGATGTGTAAAATGTGTGGACTTCCCAAGGCTTGCACTCCAAGTCAGATTCCTGTCCTTTTGAAACCTCTGAGGTCAACGGGCGTCTCTGTTCGAAAGTCGGTTGACCTCCTTGTTCTATTGAAGGTCAGTGGATTCTTTGTTCAGCTAAAAGTCAGCTGGTTCAGTGTCTTGCCCAAGGACACTTCGACACGTGGACTGCCGGCACTGAGAGGTCTACCCACCGCACCACTGTGGCCTCCCCTCCCTGGTGCTCAGATGGTTTCTGTGAAGCCCTTATTGTCACCGACGTTCGCTGAATGGTAAACAGACTGTATTTTATGTTGCACTGGCCAAAGCGCTTTACAGAAGATCATACACCATTCACACACAACATTCACACACTGATGACGACAGGCTGCCATGCACCGGCGCTAGTCAAGCCACCGGGAGCAATTCGGGGTTCAGTGTCTTGCTCAGGGACACTTAGGCATGCGGGGAGACCGGGAGTCGAACCACCAACTTGCTGGTCAGGAGACGACTGCCCTACCTCATGAGCCACAGCCGAAGAGGAGGAGGAGTGTGTCTGCAGGATGCTGGTGCACCAGTGACAGTCGGAGCTTAACGCTGCTTTGTCGTCTCCTTGTTGCTTCCAAGCTGGGCCTGGTGCATGGTTGTGCACGACAGGTGTGCACTTGTGTTGACGTGCTCTGTGAGGCTGTAATGAACCATCTGTGTCTCCCTGTTCTGTCACCTAGAAATTACATTTGATTTCAGTCTGTTTTGCCAGGACTGTGCTCAGACTGAAGCACGACCGTTTTGTACTGAATCCAACAACAACCAAAGTGTATGAGCACAAGTTTACAGACACAGTTTAACAGAGGGCTTTGTGTTGTTTGTTTCTCAACTGGGACCAGTAACTGCTACAGATCTAGTCCAGCACAAATCCCCACAAAAGGGACACATTGTTGTTTTTGGACAGATTAAAGACATGTCGTCAAACTGCTCCATCAGAGGCTTCAACAGAACCAAACTGGAAATGAGCTCCACCTTACTGAGCCATTTGGGTTCAGAACAGGGAAAACAAACAATGGATGCAGTGTTTAGAGTAAAGGGTGCATCACTCAGAATATAATGTTTGGAATACTGTACACGACTGTGGCCTGACAAGCTCTCACATCCCTCCTGACTCATGGTTTGTCCTGCAGAGCAGATATTTCCCTTGCAGCCTGAATTATGTCTGTTGCTCTGTCAGGCAGCAGCAAATACATGTGGAAGAAACTCCCAGTGACAAAGTAGACGGCACGAACACAAAGTCTGTAATGGGGTGTCATAATGCCACAGTTCTTTTTAATATCAGTAAATGAGTGGCTAAATAAAATGGTCTTGTAAACATTGGATGAAATTTAAAAGGTCCACCTGGACACAAAAGCATGAACAAGCCTTTCCAGGTCACTACTGGAAAGAAAAGATTTTCCCTTAGAGAGACAGTTTACCTGTTTATATGCCCCACAGGAGGTTCGGCCTCTGTTTTTCCTGCTTCTCAACTCAAACCCCAGTGATGGGGGCTGTCTCTGAATATCCCTCAGGTGGTTGCAGCCGCAGCGCTCTGCTGATGCCTGAAGTCTGTTTAGATCCCCAGAGGAGCTCCTGCTCGTCTTTCTGTGACTTTCCCCTTCTTCTTTGTGTCCTCCTCAGCCCAGAGTGTGATATCAGAGGAGAAGGGTCAGTGTTACCGGATCCTGGAGTCGGGTCGGGGCCCGTCCTCGTGCTCCCTGCCCATCCTCAGGAACATCACCAAGCAGATCTGCTGCTGCAGCCGAGTCGGCAAGGCCTGGGGAACGGACTGCGAGAGGTGTCCTTACTTTGCTTCAGGTTGGTTAACAGAGTTAACTGGTTAGTGACAGGTGGGTGAGCTGGCCTGGCAGACAGACTAACCATGTGCAGTGGCTTAAGAACATACTCAGAGCCCTTGACTTTGTCCACAGACTAACCTGGAAGCCAGTGTAAAGAGGCGTAATGTGCTGGGTTCTCCTGGTTCTGAATGTCCTGCTGTAGTGAGCTTTTGGTCAGACAGAGAGTGCTAGCATAGTCCACCCTACTAAAGATGAAAACATTGGCTTTCTTCCATCTGACCTCAATATCTGATTCTGTCTGTTTGTTTCAAGTGATGATTTTAACTCTTCCTCTGTTTCCTCCTGCAGTGGCCTTTAAAGAGATCTGTCCGGCCGGTCCTGGTTATCACTACTCACCTTCAGTTCTGCAGTTCAACCAGAAAGTCACCGAGCAGCTGGGAGGCCGAGGAGCTACGCTGGTAGCCGCTAGCAGCCAGCATACTCAGGGTCAGTCGGTCTGACACATATTGCAAATCAGAGGTTCTTAACCAAATCGTCCCAGTCATTATGCTACAAGTGTTGCTGGACCCCTTTCAACTTTTCCTCTCTCGGTGCACACGGCACATAAGTGCAGCTATCGGCTCCATTGTCTCTGCATTTTATTTATAAGCATGAGAAAAAAAACTTTAACGTTAACCTGGACTCTTGTTAGGATCAGGTTTTTACTGAGAGAGCCCTGGACCAGATTTCTGTGAGCTGTATTTATACACTGATTGCTCAGGACCCCTACTGGTCATAAATCTACTTCTCTACCCCCCATCCCCCAGGTCCTGGTCCAGAGTTTGATAGTGGAATCTCTGGGTCTCAGAACCCATTGTCCTCTGGAGAGAGAGCTGGTGGAATGAGTACCTCTCTGAGTTCTGCTTCAGATATCGGATCCAGTGATGAATCAGCTGGCACCAGCAGTACCCAGGCAAAACTCAGCCAGCCTCAGCCTCGTCCCCAGCTTCCGGTTCAGTCTCCAGCTCAGCCTCGTCCCCAGCTTCCGGTTCAGCCTCGCCCCCAGTCTCCGGCTCAGCCTCGTCCCCAGCTTCCGGCTCAGCCTCGTCCCCCGCTTCCGGTTCAGCCTCCGGCCCTCGTCCCCAGCTTCCGGCTCAGCCTCGTCCCCAGCCTCCGGCTCAGCCTCACCCAGCTGCTGGCTCTTCCTCCTCCAAGCCTGTGCAGCCTGGCAGCACCGGCACCACAGCCACCCAGGACGAAGCACCGACTCTGGGCAGACCAGGGGTCCAGCAGGGCCGGCCTGAGTCAGCTGCATCGTTCACAACACAACCAAGACCTCTGCCTCCATCCACCGGGAGTCAAGGTAACAGAGAAGCTGTGTTTGATATGTTAGCATGATTAAGATAATTCCTCTGACAGTGCTTAAAAAAGGAAGTGTGTGACTGGTTTAGGCAAACTAGAATGATAACACCTAACTGGTTTCTGTCTCAGAATATTCAGATTTCACCACCCACAGTTCCTACTATTACAGGAGGCTCTGCAAGGCCAGGGTGACTGACAGGAGTCACCCTATCAGGAGGCTAGTTTTCAGCAGCTTGCTAGCTTGAACCGGGGAAATGAAAAATGCGTCAATCTCCACACAGTAAAGTTTATTCTTTCACCTTTATTTAATTTGACCAACTGTGACTTAAACAATGCAGAAATGAAATAAGGTGATTGTGAGAGAAACAAACTACAGACCTGTAGCAACCAGCCTCCCTCCTACAGAGTAGACAGGATAAATGTTAGGAATCGAGCAGGGAGACACAGGATGCAGGTGTTTGAATGTTCTTTCTTTTTTTAATTCATGTCCAAAATGGAACAAATCTCAGTTTCACACACAATTGTCAAGAAGCCCCGGCTATCAAAATGTTTGTATATACTCTTCTGGGACCTGTGTTTGTGACTGAGCCCCTGTGCACCTCAAACCTCCACATTTCTTCCCCACAAAGAAACCTGGCCTCTGCAGCTTCACCTGTTTATGATACATAAGGAGTTTGTTGAACCTGCATTTGTCAGAAAATACCAGAGCTTATATTTCATCGGAGCTGCACAGATATCATGTCCTGTAGTTTGCAGATCCTCTCGCAGGCTTGTGCCATGGAGCAGTGGTTCACAACGAGGTCCAGAGGTGCAGGTAGAAGTCAGGGTGGTGTGCAGGGTTTGGGTGGGTTCCTATCAGGCCACAACAGTTTCTGCTCTCAGCAGGTGCTCGGCCCTCCTCTGTGTCCCGGCCAGTTCAGCCTCCAGCTAGAGGGGCATCTTTCCCTGCTCAGCCACAGACCCCTCATCGTGGCGCAGAGCTGCCTCCTCTGCACAGCAGACCAGCTGTCAGCCCAACGACACGGCCCCCCAGAGTCCAGGGTGAGTACCAGCAGACACAAACCACCTCCAGGGCAGAGAAGACTGCTGGTCATGTACTTGTGCAGGCCTGTATTGAATGGGGACACCAACCAGGTGGCAGGATGTTGTGCTGCAAAGGTCCCCTGCTGGAATCAATTCGGGGGTGTCACAGGGACAGTGTCAGGGGGTGGGGGGCTGGAAATTCTGAAGTTAACCCTGAACTCTGGGTCGTCTTCTTTATTCATCTGATCAGAGTCGCTTCAGTCAGCGCTCAGTATGTTCACAACTTCTTACTGCAATAAATTTATTTCCACTGCTCCAGTTAATGTGTAGATTCAGATTGTCAGTGTTAAATGTGAGACACTGACCGTGAATGAGGGACGTGAACAGTTTGCACCTGAGTGGGGAAAAGACTCAAGATTGGTCTTTAAAGAAGATTTCACATCCTCTGTGTGTGTCTGCAGCAGTGCGAGGTGTGTGTGAGAGCAGACCGGGTGTGTGTGGGCGTGGCCGCTGTGTGGATCAGCCGGGCGGGAAACACACCTGTGTGTGTGATCAGGGATACCAGCCCAACTCTCAGCGCACCTCCTGCCAAGGTGAGTACGAGCACACACACACACACACACACACACTGTTGTTATGAGGACCTTTCTCCTCCCTTACTCCTCAGAATGCCATGAAAGGCCGGTGCAGGTCTGCAGGTAGCTGAGGAATTTCTTCCACACATCTGAAACATTTAATGAGTCGCCGTTCAAACTTTTTACATCCAAGCATAACAAACGTTTTCTGGAGCGGTGCAGCAACATGGAAAATGAAATGTCTCAGTGGGGGTGAATGAAAACAATCCAACAAGCACAGCTGTAAAGTTTCACCGTGTATCCGCATAATGTGAACATAATGAGACTTTTTCTTTGGCTAATTGGCTAAAATCAGCACATTTATCATCTGTGTTAACGTAATTCTGGCACCGCGGTCCTTTGTCCTTCCAGACAGGAACAGTTTACGTCTGTTTTGTGTGTGTCTGTGTGTCTAGATGTGAATGAGTGTGTGCAGTCTCCAGGTGTGTGTTCGGTGGGGGAATGTGTGAACACCGTGGGAAGCTACACGTGTGCGTGTCCGTCTGGATACAGGAGCAGTGGCCAGCAGACCCTATGCCAAGGTGACATCCACTTCCTGTTTGTATTTATGCCATTTTATAACAAAAAAACAGGGAAACCAGCTCAGTGTGTTTCATCCTTAGACGTCGATGAGTGCCAGCTGAACCCCTGCAGTAACAGTCGCTGTGAAAACACTCCAGGTAGCTACAGGTGTGTCTGTCGCCATGGTTACAGGCTCACCGGCAACACCTGCACAGGTAAAGATGGATCACGGCATGAAGCCCAGTGCAGAATTGGAGAAACCATGGTGTTAAAAAATAAATCTTATTTTATGAATGGGAGGAAAACCACAGTACGTGTGTTCTCGCTGTCTTGGGTGAGGGCCTTGTACTTTAAAGTGAGATTCTGTGGGAAGAGCCGTTTCAGTTGAGTGTAACCTGTCCCTTTTGGAGGATGTCAAAAACGATTTAGCTGATCTTCTACCACCAACATGCTGGGAACCAGTATGGGGACAGAAAACGAAGAAAATGTGTGTGTGTTTCAGATGTGGACGAGTGTAAGGATCCTCTGCGTTGTCCAGGTCAGGAGTGCATCAACAGCCAGGGCTCGTACCGCTGCGTGTCCTGTCAGCCTGGATATGAACTGCTCAACAGGCTCTGTACAGGTAATGCACACTTGTGGGTCAGAGGTCACCTGGCTAAAACTCAGGAAAAGTGACCGTAATTGTTCAGTTTATTAAACATCAACAAACAGTGAAAAATGCACATCATAATTTCCCAGTGTTGAACTCGGCGAGTGTCATTTTGTCTGACCCGCAGTACGTGACAGTTTAACGTGAGACAACGACAAGTGGCTTAGGTGGAACATCTGGGTCAATGACATCATCAGATGTTGGCTTAAATACTAATTAAATTACTTGTCTTAAATTAAATGACTAAAGTTTTTATCAGTTGCTCATTAAATTTCAGTTAACTGACTTTTCACCGCAGCTCTAAATGTGACCACTGGCATCAGCTATATCTAATGCTAACGTCTCAGTCTTCATTAAGCATTTCTTTAGTTTTAAGGTTGTTGATGGCTCCTCTCATGCGCGCAGGAAGGTTTTTCAGTAGAGGGTGCTGCCTGGGATACGTGCACATGCTTGGCCGTTTTTGTGCATGTAAATGCTTATAGCCTAATAAAATATGCGTGTAATCCAAAATAATGTGTATTGCCATATATACAATTAAATTAGTCAGAATTCTGTCTAGTTTTTTTTCACATGCTACATGTTTGAATGTTTTCTAAAATTACTGTTGGAGTTTCATTCAGTTAGATTTGGATTAACGACATAAACATGACTTAGCTTAGCATGCTAACATCTGACATTTATCTTCTTTTTGTGAAGTGCAGAAAGTGATATGTTGATATGTTTACACGGTGTTTGTTAGGACAATATATAACATTTTTAAAATAAACATTTTCATATGCAACTTCTGTTTATTTGGCTTTCAACTGTTAGCACACCTCGTATTAGCATATAAAATATGTATAAGCATAGAAATTAAAGCTAAGTGCCTAAAATGGTTCATTAGTAATTATGTCACACAGATATAAATAATAACAGCTTAGTAACTGTCTACAGACATCGATGAGTGTCGCCAGGCTCCTTGCTCCAACGGTCGCTGTGAAAACACACCAGGGAGCTACCGCTGTGTCTGTCACCATGGTTACAAGCTCCAGGACAACACCTGTACAGGTAAATGGGGAGGCTGGAGATGCAGATGTGGTGCTAGAGTTGTTCTCTGAACAATCAAAACCTTGGTGTGATGAATCAGATCTTTAATATTCATTTGGCATGATGGTCAGTCGCTCTAGGATGAGGATCTGCATTTATACCGCCAGAGAATAAAAAGATAAAACTCTCTGCTCAGGTAGCAGAAGGGAAACGCCCACAGAGTCTAGGTGTTTTCTCAAGACTTTTAAACGGGAAAACAAGTTCTACAGAATAAATATACAAGTGGTACCCTGGTCACATCAGAGCTAGATCAGCATGGGGAAGCTGTAGGTTCTTAACATGTAACAAAGCTGATTCTATGGAATCATACTGGAAAATTCAGGAAGTGGTTGTTTTAGATACAGAAAAAGGGGATTTAGAAAGAGACAAGTGAAAACAAATATATTACTGGCAGAAACACATTGCTTAGAGACAGAAGAGGAAAGTACAGTCCAGGCGCTGATTCACCCCTCACTGTCTTTGTTAATCACCTTTATTCACATTCCTCTGTGCAACAAACCCCTATAGGCAAGTTTCTCATTGTCTTCTTCACTAGTCTTCCTCTTTGTCCACAAAGCATGCACACAAATACACCACTCATCAAATCAGAATTTTAACGTATACAGTGTAAGAATGAACATTACCTGATACCTCTGCTGCTTAGTTTAGCTTAGCTTAGCATCAGAACTGGAAACAGGTGGAAACCATTAGCCCGGCTCTGGCCAGAGGAGACAAACGTCCACAGCTCATGGTGTGTGTCTTCATTGTGTGTGTCCAGATGTTGATGAGTGTGCAGAGCTGTCTCAGTGTCCTGGTCAGATGTGTGTCAACTCTGTGGGATCATATCGCTGCGTGTCCTGTCGACCAGGATACACACTGGCTGGCAGACAGTGTATTGGTATGGTGTGCTAGCATACACACACTTGTACATCTGAGGACAGTCGTTGACATAATGCATCCCCAACCTAAACCTAGTTCTAACCTGTAGCGTAAAACCAAGTCGTAACCCTCAGAAAGCTGGTTCACAAAGTGAGGACTGGCCAAAATGTCCTCACTCTAGCAAAAAACATCACTATGCAGCAAGTACACGAACCCACATACACACACATACTGTGGTCTCTCTCATCTGTCTCCCTCTGTAGATGTGAATGAGTGTGAGGACAGCCGGACGTGTCCCGGGCAGCGGTGTGTGAACACTGAAGGATCCTACAGATGTGTGGCCTGTCAGCAGGGACACCACAGTGTGAACGGAGTGTGTACAGGTACACACACACACACACACACACTGTGGAAACACTAGAAACTCTCTGAAGGGTGACTCCACCCTCACATCCTGCCAGCAGCCCCTCTCACAGCAGAACTGCTAAAGAAATGAAGTCTTAATAAAGGAAAACAACAAATCTGAAATCAGAAAAGCAGTTATTTTTGGGTGAACAGTCACCGACTATCAACATTGTTAGATTAATTTTCTATGGATCTGCTAACTGATTGTTTCAGCTGTTGTTTTGATGATCTAATACTTTATGATAAATAATGTTGACATTGGTCCTTTATGTTTGATTTATGTTCTGACACCAGTTAATTAACAGCTTTTTCAGCCCTGAGCAGTGTCTGCAGGTTCAGTTACAGCCTCCACCAGTGAGATGGAGCCTGAGAGGTGAAGCCCAGGGCAAAAGGTTCTGGTTCAAAAATCTGATTTGCACATACAAAATATTGTATGTGTGTTTTCTCCCTGTTGCAGGGGACTGAAAACCAGAGCACAGCAAGTTTGTGGGAACCCACCTTCCTAAATAGTTGAATTTGGAAGGAAAACATCAAACTTCATCTGTGAACAAAGCTGAAGATGCCTCTCTCTCGCTTTCTGCGTCCCACAGATATAGACGAGTGCGCAAGTGTCAGGGCATGTGACGCACAGCGGGTGTGCGTGAACACCATCGGCTCGTTCAGGTGCGACTGTCCACCTGGTTATCGAACCTCCGGCCTGGGCAGGCAGTGCAGAGGTGGGTCAGTTCACCTGGCAGGTGTTTCATGACATCAGCAGTGTTCTGATGTCACTGCTGGGCTGGTGTGGTAATAATGAAGGAGACGATGGGGACTGACGGTGACAAAGCTGAAGCTCCAGCTCTTCTCCCACAGGAACAAAATACAAGCCAGTCTCATAATAATAACGCTTGGCACAGTGAAACAAAAGACCTGCCTGCTCCAGCTCCTGTATAATGAAAATACTTCTGAAATATCCAGAGTTGTGCTTTTACTGGAGTGAAGTTAATCTGTCAAATATGTGTTAAAACGATTGTTTTCGATATGTGTGTGTGTCCTCAGATATTAATGAGTGTTTGGAGGGGGACTTCTGCTTCTCCAGAGGAGAGTGCGTGAACACGCCAGGCTCCTACACGTGTGTGTGCTCTCGGGGCTTCACGCTGAGTGACAACAGGACAGCGTGCCTCGGTGAGTCATGGCGTGTTCAGCGTGACGGACTCGGGGTGAACACTGGGGCTTTTTATTGGCTGTTGTGTCTGTTTTTATTTAGCCAGTAAAAGAAAACCCTGCTAAACAAAAGATATTTGCTAAAACTCAAACTAACATTAATCATTAGGTCTCATGCAAGAACATATTTGTTGTCGCATGCAAGAGATAGTTTATGGCCTTGACATGTTTTCAGTGACTCTGCTGCTAGAACCGTGCGTGTTCAGAGCTGTGCAATCGTCCGGAGCAGCTAGTAGTCCAGGCAGAGTGCATGTCTGTCGCTGGGTGTTTGAGGCTCTGCAGATGTCCTCATGATTGACTGTGTGTGTGTGTGTGTGTGTGTGCACGCAGTCGTGGAAATTGACCAAGTACAGTGAGGTATCTGTACTTCAGCTGAGTATTTCATTGTCCTTCTACTTGCAGAACACAAACCGTGTACTTTTTACTGCACTACATGTACACGATAACTTCAGGTCCAGAACCAGATGAATCAAACCAAACCCAGTAGAACCATCAGACTCTATTAATCCCAGTAGGAAATCCACCAGCTACCCAGCAGAATGGAAACTCAACTCAACTTTATTTATAGAGCACTTTAACACAGCCAAAGCCAAACAAAGTGCTTAACATAAGATTCGATTTAAAACATATAACATGTGAACAACTACATTAATAAGAATAAAACAATAAAATAAAATAAATGAACCAAGACAGCAAAATAACAAAATAGTATCCAAAACCAAAACTCAGCAAACAGAGTCTCATGCCATATGATACGCCAAGGCATACAAATGGGTCTTCAAGTAAGTTTTAAAAATGGCCAACGAGGGGGCCTGCCTAATGTAAAGAGGCAGCGCATTCCATAGCCTAGGAGCCACAACGGAAAACGCTCTGTCCCCTCTAAGTTTACGCCTAGCCCTTGGTACCCCCAGCCGGAGCTGGTCAGCTGATCTGAGGCACCGAGAGGGACTACAAGGAAATAAAACTTCAAGAAGGTACAGTGGTGCAAGACCACTTAAAGACTTAAAAACAAATAAAAGAATCTTAAAATGAATCCTAAAGGACACCGGGAGCCAGTGAAGGGATGCCAAAATAGGGGTTATATGCTCCCTTTTACGCACTCCAACCAATAGACGGGTGTCGTGGCAAGAGTGAGATACCAACTAAATTAATTCAGACAAACCATTACAATTTAAAGGATCATTTAATATTACAATTATTCTGAGTAGAGTAGCATCTAAACAGATAATCTTATAGTTAGGGAACAGAGAACAGAGGACAGAGACTCTCCTCCTGCAATGAAATAGATAAAGCCTAAATTGGTCGGAGCACCAGTCAGTCAGGTCAGGTCCTTTGTTACCAGTCCTGGGTCAGTCAGCCCCAGTCAGTCTTCTTCTCCCCAGCCGGCTGGGTCTCTAAAAGGTACCTCGTCCACCGTTTACTGCAGCATGGTCATCTCCTCTCTATCCCTGGCTCCCTCAGGCTCACTTCTCTTTTTCAGCTCAGCCACTAGCTACTTCTCAACAGCTGGACTCTGTCCCCCTTGACGTCTCTGCGACCCCCCTTCTCACTCCATTCCAGGAAGACAGGAAGGTTGACTCCCAATCTTCTGGCGCAGAGGGTTCATCTCTGACCATACTAGGCCTTAACTAGGATTCTAAGTATTAATTATATAACCACTTACATAAGCCCATTGTCCACCTCACATGAACTTAATAAACCCATAATCACTCAGCTCTCCCTTACACGAGCTAGTACCAAATAAGGTCTATATTGAGCTACATACTGTTCCATTACATATTTCCTCTGGAATAGGGTTTATTTTTTCACCACTACAGTCCCCCCTTCCGTGGTTTTTAAACCATGGAACATCGGAACTCAGAATAGGTAAAATCAAAATATGACCATGTTGGCCTGAGACTTTAACGCCTCTAAACTCTGTCGGCTGTAGTCAAACGCTGACCTCTTCCTACAGCTAAAATTAAGTCTAAAATAATTTCCGTATTACAAAACTAACAACTCCTCAATTAACCTTAACCTTAACAGAGTCTTTCTCACATACTCCAGTGAAACCCAACTTAAACAACTCAGTCGGTCAAGTCTCTAACGTCTCACACCTTTGCAGAGTCAGTAGTAATTAACTATGGTGAACAAATCAACTGTATGAGATAACACATAACTTCCCATTCAGAACAGTCAGACAAATGAACAAACATGAACATAAAAGCGAACAGAAATAAAATCAAAATATGAATAAAAGTCAAAGGCAGGGGTTGTACCCAAAGCCCTCGCAACAGCAACCTTCTCGATAAAAAACTGTAGTTATCACACAGCTCAACAGAGGCTTCCAGGAAAAATTTAGCACAGACCCAATTGTTTTAAATAACACGCATGGATTATGGCTGTTTGATACAACAATATCAGACAAATATTCTCTCTTAGCTTCTTTAACAGTCTTCTGATAATTGTGCCAGCAATCCTTTAAGATTTGAAAAGAAACCTGCAGTCTGTCCTTCTTCCACCTCCGTTCAGCTTTACGGCACGCTTGCCTAGCCACACGAGTTTTGGTGCCAAACCATGGTTCAGGCTTAGCTTTAGGCTAAGCCTGAACCTTAAATGGGGCCACAGAATCCAGAATAAAGCAACAAGAGGAGTGAAACCAGGAACTAAGCTCCTCAGTATCGCCAACATTTGGAACAGCAAGCTGATCAAAGGTAGCAACAAATTGGCCCACAGTCGAAGAATTAAATATCCGGCCACGTCGAGTAGGGGCATGCAACTTACCCTCTACACAAAACAGGCCGGCCTCAAATACAATAGGCATATGGTCAGAAAAAACATTTACACCAATATCAACTTCTGACACAGAGACACCATAGGAAATAAGATCCAACATAGTTACCATCAGCTCCACCTTTACCAGCTGCAGCATTAAAGTGATGGACACAGTAATTAGTCACTATGATCCAGTATCAGGGACGTTACTGGGACACCGTTCAGTTGACCGTTCTGCAGGACCAGTACTGGTACTGATGGTATTTCATGTATATTTGGATGCTGATACTTTTGTACTTTTACATTAGTAACATTTTGAATGCAGGACTCTTACTTGTATTTCTACACTGTGGTATTGCTACTTTTGTGTCCGTAAATGACCCGAGTACTACTTGCACCCCTGTGCACGTGTGTGTGTGTGTGTGTGTTACATGCAGTGACAGCTTCTTTCTCTCTGTAGACGTGGACGAGTGTATGAAGTCAGGTGTGTGTTTGGATGGTCGCTGTGTGAACACCGACGGCTCATTCCAGTGCCAGTGTCAAACCGGCTTCACCACCAACCCTGAGAAGACCGCCTGCCTCGGTACGCAATCGCACACTAACCACTGCTTGTCTAACCCTGTCCCTGACCTCAAGCCAGTGGTTTACCATGGTAGAACTTGGCCTTTGTGCCCAAGAGGAAGGCGAGGCCCCAAATGTTGTCCACTCTATTTACAGTACAGTTATGAGGTACCTGTACTTCACTCAGGTGTTCTCCTTTGATAATTCTTCTACTTGTGATACCTGTGATGTGGGCGCAGACAGCGCTCTGTAACTGCTGCATGTGGAGATAACAAACAAATTCAACATACTGTGTGTGAACACAGTACTTTTACCAAGGTAACGAATCAGAGAACTTCTTCTGTCACAAAGCTTTGAGTCGACGGTACAGTTCATTCTCTGTCCGTCTCTCTCAGATGTGGATGAATGCATCTCATCCGGAGGGTCGGTCTGTGGCTCACGGCGATGTGAAAACACGATCGGCTCCTACCGCTGCCTCACTTCCTGTGAGCCGGGCTACCGGGTCGCTCAGACTGGCGAGTGTGTAGGTGAGTCTGAGTGCACACCTGTGAAGCATCACGTGTACACCACGTGTCGGCGCCCTCAGCCGCTGATGAGTGGTTATACACAGAGTGACACTTAGACTGAGGTCACTTTGTTTTTCCATGAAAGTCAACTTTCCCTGCAGATGTTTCACAATAAAAGCCCTCCAGGGAAGAAAGAGGATTATCTTGAAATGATTGATAATGTGGAACAGATGCAGGAAGAGTTGCACAAACAGCAGCAGCAACAACAAACAGACAGCAAAAAACAAGGAGGACTCTGACTGATGATCTGATCAACTTGACGCTGTCTTTATTTTCTACAAAGAGCCATTGTGTTGTTTTCCACAGAGCACAGATCACTTGAGTCAGACAGTAAAAAGTGAGGATGAGTTTCAGAGAGTAAAGAGATGTTGTGTAACATACTGAGGATTTTTTCCATAGTTTGTATATCATGTTGAAAATCACATCAGACTTGAAGTCCCTCTCCTCTCTGTCAGACCTCAACGAATGTGCCAATAAGTCGGTGTGTGGCAACCACGGCGTCTGTCAGAACCTGATAGGAACCTACCTGTGTGTGTGTGACCGGGGCTTCACCCCCACCGCCAACCGAAAGGCCTGTGTGGGTATGTGTGCATCTTCAGTCGCATGTCGCATCGGTCACCTGGCCGACACGAGGCTGCAGGGTGCAAATGGCATGTTGTAAAAGCAGAGCTCACAGGACCTAACGCAGGTGGAGCCTGGAGCATTTACTCTCAGTTCTCAGTGTGTGGTTTATTAGGAACCCCTAGCTCAGACCAAGCCAGTCTAAACCTGCAGCCTGGACTTTGTGCTGCTGTTACAAGGAGCTGTTCCTTTTATTTTATCATTTTTGATGTAGTAGAACAAATACCAGACACAGTTTTCTGTCTAACAGAGCACAGCTATAAATACATTTTCCTGCAGGTATCTCTGCTCCGTCTCATATTATTTTAAGTTCTTCATTCATGGTTCTTTCATATGAATGAGCTCATGGAGTGAGAGGAAAACCCAGACCTAACAGAGGAAGCCGATAACGTGGGACAACCTGGTTTTTGTGCTGCTATAATTTGGCTGATGCTGTTTGAGACCAGTCCTGAGGCAGAGCACTGCTTGTCTCTTCCAGATGAAGACGAATGTGTGTCCGTGCCGGGCGTGTGTGGTCCAGCTCGCTGCAAGAATGTGGAGGGCTCCTTCACGTGTGAGTGTGACGCACCGGGAGAGTTCGACACCAGGACCAGGCAGTGCGTCAGTGCTTCACAACCAGGTACACACACTGGCACAGTGCCCATGAGTGTGAAACTAGAGCGCCCAGGTACAGCTGCTGTGCACTGCACTGATACGACACAGTAAAGAACAACATGAGCAAACTGAATAAACAAGTGAGCAGACAGGTACTGTCGGGTAAATATTCAGTAGCTATTTAAAAGAAGCCGTCATTAGCGTAGCAGACTTGGTTAGGTTGTCTCAGACTCAACAGTCGTACAGTGCCGTGTGTTTCACATCCTCTGGAGTTACTGTGTGAGCTAACACGACCTGCTTGAACAGATAACACACACATCATTGTGTGGTTCCCATTCTGAACACATCATTAAAACGTTCCCAGTGTGAGTCTGAACGCTGGGCTAATGGCATCAGTCAGAACTAACTGAGGTCCAGTCAGTGGCCCCAGACTGGAGCTGTGGGTTACAGCCGTTCACAAGAAGCATCTGCTGATGTGGACTGTGCTCCCAAAAAATGTTAGAAGACTGAGATTGTAGATTTGTAGGAAATGTTACAGATCATCTCTGTCTTCAGTCCACAGTCACACTGTGGCTGCTCTCCCTAGTAGGGGGTGTCTGACAGAACGACCATCGGCATAAAGAAGCCGCCCAGAGTAACAGCTGAAGGCTTAAAGGAGTCACTGGAGCTGGTTACTGTCTCTGTTGCTGAGTTGACCACATGTGCACCATGGTGCATGGAGTCCACAGCAGGACACCACAGAAGAAGCTGCAGCTGGAGTTTGCCAAAGAGCAGCCCGACTCTCCACAGCACTGAATGAAACCAAGGCTGAAGGTCTGACCTGATGTTTAAGTCAAGTCAAGACTCTTTATTGTCATTATGCATAGCACAACGAAATTTTTTCCGACAGCTCTCGGCTTAAAAGACAAACATATTATTTACATAACACACAATTGTATAAGTCAATATAAAAATATGAACTAATAAAAAGGGATGTATGGGCCCTAATCAGGTCAGCAGCATGTTAGCATCAAGAGTGTAGTAACATTATAAGGTGCAGCTCAGTGCAAATCTCAGTCTTTAGGA